AAGGGCAATAACAACTAAGGCAACAACTGGAAGATCACGAGAGGTTCCTAAAAACGTTAGGAAGCAATAATCAAGGCACTTAATCGCAACCAACCAAGATTTTCTCCTATAATCAAAGAGACCCCCACAAAATAAGGGCAAGAATCTCGGCTAAGATCTCATTGAATATGGAACAGTCCTATAAATACTATGTAACGCCCCCCAAGGAACGGGAGGAACCCTAAAGGTAAAAACTAGTTATTGTACTCTTGCAATCATCATTATTGAAAGACAGAGAACAAGAGTCTCCATTAAAGAGTGAATTAACTGAGCTCCCGAGCTGGTGAATTACTATATTCCTACTGTGTTAATTCTCCGACAATTCTTAGTATCATTCACTCGAGTCTAGTAGCTCAGATCCCAAAAATTTCAATATTATTTTTCTTTCATTTACTTGTCATCACAAATTCTCATCACGCTGAAATACACCATCAGTTTGGCGTCGTCTGTGGGAAAAGACTGTTCATGTTACAAATAAAGCTGATTTTCTAGTGACTGATGGTATCAACGTGAAACATGAGCCGAAGTCAGACCAATCCTCTACGGATGCAAGATCAACAGGAAGCTGCAAATAACAGGCAACCCGAAAACGCTCAAGAAACAGATCGCCCCATGGGGGGGCCTTCCCATGAATGATGAGATGGAGGCCCTTCGTCTTGTTAATGAACGTCTGATAAAACAGAACGAAAAGCTCTTAAAGCTCCTACAACGCCCACCGGAGGCACGACCAGCCCAAGGAGGCCATACTAACCCACCACCAAGAGAGCAACTGTACCTCGACCCCCTCAGAGAAGTTAATGAGGTGAAAGAGAATAGCTAGCCTTTCGGGCAAGAACCTTGACTACCCCTTAGGAATGGACACAACGATAAAGTGCAAAGTCAATATAAGGAAGGGGAGATGAGCGACTTCTTCCCTTATCAATAGGAGAGAAGAGAACACCACTGAGAACAACGTTTCAAAGACATCCAGTAAGAGTTCAGTCGGATGAAGGAGGCAGTGAAGAGCAAGGCCCCAGTCACTATGGATACCTTGATGCAGCAAACCGAATCTTCATTCACTATTGGGGGGCTGCACTTCCCTCTCTCACCTAAATTCAAAATGCCGCAGATGGATGCTTTCGATGGGACAAAAGATCCCGTGGACCACCTCAACACCTATAAAAACCAAATTGAGTTGCATGGATATCAAGATCCAATGAGATGCAGGGCCTTTGCTATCACCCTGAAGGGCTCAGCCTTAGCATGGTTCAATAGACTCCCCCCAGCCTTGATTTTCTCTTTTAAAGAGTTGTCAATCTCGTTTGTGTCCCACTTCATTGGAGTTCGGACCTATAGAAAATCGAGCTACCATTTGTTAAATATGAAACAGGGACCTGATGAGAACCTACGGTCTTATGTCCAACGGTTCAACTCAAAATCCTTGAAGGTGGATGTCCCAGACAAAAAATTTACTATTATAGCCTTCATAGCAGGTCTGGGGGTTCAGTCAAAAGACCTGATGTTTTCTATCTCAAATAACCCCCAAGCTACTATGGCGGAGGTGCTCGCCAAAGTAGAAAAGTACATAAATGGTGAGGAAGCACTCCTCTCCAAGGTCGGGAGCTCTTCGTCGAGAAAGGAGAAAGAGAGGAAAACAATAAAATCAAATATGGGAAAGAACATTACATTTTACGCCCTCAGGTCGGATAAAGGAAAGTGGGATTGGAGGAGGCCCGAATCCCTGCCTTTCTAATTTTCAGGGCTTAAGGAGCTCAGAGTACCTCTCTGGATTACACTTAGCCAGCTTCAGCTTCACCCGTTTGTCCTCGGCACTGAGTTCAGGTCGAATGCGTAAGAAATGAGGAACACCAAAAGTGCAGAGGTCAGGAAAACAATTTATAAATTTTCAAACCGTAGTTCAGTCGGGCAAGAACTCACCTAAGTTATATGGGGCTGACCATGCTCTGGAAATCTCAAGAGTGTTTGTTTTATTAGCAGGATTGTATTCCCAGTTGACACTCCCAACGAAAAAAAATTCTTTTTTCAGTCTTTATGAGAGCTCGGGAGGTGTGTGATGATCTACCTAGACGAGGTCTGCCTAGAAACATATAGAAAACCCTCAATTGAGGTAACCTTGACATTGAAAAGGTCCATAAGCTGAGAAATGGTGGGAGTCCCAAGTCCATGCTTCTTAAAGAAAACTAAAAGACCCACTAAAAGACCCCAGAAGTTAGGAGAAAGCTGAGCAGACAGACATTAAGGTGCTGCAGAACATTTTTGATGAAGGGGTGCATAGGGAAACGAAGGTCATTCTCGAAAGTGACCACAAAGAAACAAACTCTTTTATGCACTTGGGCAACGTATGAGGTGAATTTATTCGGGCACCAGGGCTGAACACCAGGAGAAAAACCAAAACGAGCATTAAGAACTTTCATGAGAATAGGATTCACTTCACTGGGACCCATGAGCTCAGCATGCCTGAAGGCAGCCCCCATACCCGCTGTACTATCAGGAATCCCAACCTCACTCACCTTGCCCTTACCCTTGTCAACACTAGGAGGTACATGAGAGGAAGATGAGGGGAGTTCATTGGAGTCCACCTCGGTATCGACAGCTTCAACATTGGGGAAGTTGTCAATTACATCACCTATATCCCCTAAATCAGAATCCCTCTCGACAAATCTATCGCTTAGGAGGGAAACAAAGGAGGGAGTTGCTCCAGAGGAGGCAGACATGATTGGCAAAGAGAAAGAATTATAAAAAGGAGAAATACTAACTAAACACTCCCTGATAATCTTAGGGTCAGCACTGTACCTCTCGACAGTAAGAATTCACACAGTGGAATTTCAATCCACAAAGCGGGGAAGAGGAGATAGGCAACGATCACGATTCCAAAAGAAAAAGAACCGAAAAATCCAGAAAAACACTGGCCACCTTGAGGTCGAGGGATCCAGAGTGAGGAAAGGCAACCAGAAAGAGAAAGGGGCATAAGGAAGCGTACTTAGATAAGGAAGAAGAGCAACAAACAACAGCCAAAGAATAAAATTGGAGGAGAGGAACAAAGCAGGACTTCGAGTTGAACCCAGAAAGCACAGTCTAGAGCAGAGAATAAGGGAATTGCGTGGAGAAAAGCCTAGAAATCACAGAGAGAAAGAGCCAGAGACGAAGGTGAACCACGTAGAAGATGAACGGTGATTTTGTACGTTTTCTTTTAGCCGTTTTGAGCATNGAAATCACAGAGAGAAAGAGCCGGAGACGAAGGTGAACCACGTAGAAGATGAACGGTGATTTTGTACGTTTTCTTTTAGCCGTTTTGAGCATTTAAGGCTTGAAAGACGTGGGATGAGGCGTGCGCGGGAACCAAGGGAGCCATGATTGCTTATACCGTTAAAAAACCCCTCCCATGTGCATCTCACATGCAGGCTAAGGTTAGCTAGACGCAGGTCTGGTCCAAGGTAAAAGCAGCTCAGCCCCATGCACAAGCTCGTTTGGGCCAAGGGCTGGGGGAGGCAATTGATGATTCCTCAAAATAAATCCCAAACGCCAGCTCAGAAGANAGCTAGGCGTAGGTTTGGTCTAAGGTAAAAGCAGCTCAGCCCATGCCCAAGCTCACTTGGGCCAAGGGTTGGGGGGGCAACTGATGATACCTCAAAATAAATCTCAAACGCCAGCTCAGAATGTCAGCATAGCCCAGGAGGTCAGACTAGACGAACAGAACTCGGAAGAGTAGAGCTGGAGGTCCCTTCGAAATAAGCAAGGGCAATAACAACTAAGGCAACAACTGGAAGATTACGAGAGGTTCCTAAAAGCGTTAGGAAGCAATAATCAAGGCACCTAATTGCAACCAACCAAGATCTTCTCCTATAATCAAGGAGAACCCCACGAAATAAGGGCAAGAATCTCGGCTAAGATCCCACTGAATAGGAAACAACCCTATAAATACTATGTAACATCCCCAAGAAACGGGAGGAACCCTAAAGGCAAAAACTAGTTATTGTACTCTTGCAATCATCATTATTGAAAGACAAGGAGCAAGAGTCTCCATTAAAGAGTGGATTAACCGAGCTCCCGAACTGGTGAACCACTATATTCCTACTGTGTTAATTCCCCGACAATTCTCAGTATCATTCACTCGAGTCTAGTAGCTCAGATTCCAACAATTTCAATATTATTTTTCTTTCATTTACTCGTCATCACAAATTCTCATCACGCTGAAACACACCATCATACTTAAACCTCTCAAGTTTAAAATGTTATATTTAAACTAAAAATACTCTAATTAAAAATAGAATATGCAATATTGTAAATATCAGAGGTTTGATTGATTAAGTAACAAATTTCATGAAGTCTGGGTGCGATTCTTCCTTTATTTTTATCACTTTTTACAGTACTTACAATTGATCTTTGTTCGATTTTGTCACTAAATTTTTACAATTTTATCTGAATGATACTAAAATATGTTTTGAGTATCGAAATCAAGCCTTCAATTTAAGGGGCTCCGTTAATTGGACTAATTTTTTTTTTCTAATAATTACCCAGTATTATATTGTAACCACAAGAGTTCAAAAAACTCAAGTCCAAATATCATCTCTAAAAAAGTATTCGGAAAAGTAGATGGTATTGGATGTATTAAAATTATTTTGGCCTGCAGTTAATTTCCTTTATTCTTTCTTTTAAAAATTACATATTAACGTTAAAAGAATGACCAACGAAAAATAATAGTAGAATCGCATTGTAACATTTTTAACACGATGAGAGAATGGGCAATGAGAGCTAACAATAGAGTCATAAGGTTGCATCATAACAGTTTTAATACATTGAGAATTTAAGATGAAAAATATAAATATTTAAAAGTTTTAAGTGAGAATTCTTAATATTTGTTGGGCACAAAGTATAATTCGCCCAAAAAATACGGTAGAAAACCGTAAAAACGAGGAAAACTGCTGGGGTTGAATAAAACAAACTCAAAACTGTGTTGGAGGCAACGATCGAAGGAAAGAAACAAGTGGTGGCGCAGGAGAGAATGTGGAATCTGACGCTGGTTCTGTGCCTAATATGGGCGGCGAGCCTCCTTTACGGCGAGATGTTCGCGTTCTGGTTGCCCTCGATGTGGACTTGTTCATGGCCTCACCATCATTCCCGATTTTCCACATCCATTTCTTCCGCGGTAAATAGAAATCAGATCTTTTTCATTTTTGCCTCTGTAAATTGATTTTTTTTCCTTAATTTTCATCATATCTGTTCATCTGAGCTACGACAAGGCTCAGGAATTCTGGGACTGTTATTCCTAAATTAGGTGTTTTCAATTCTAGATATTGTTAGATCTTGAAATCTTGTCAGAGTACATTATTAACTTGCCTTAATTGTCTGTATTGATTTTTAACTTATTGAGCTGGATTTGCAGTCTGTTTGCACTTTTTCTAATCTTGTATACAGACACACCAATTGTGATTAAAGGCCGAGAATTTTAGTCACTTACAATTAATTCATTGGGCTATGTTGCCAACAGATGATTTCACAAGTTCTGCTTGGAAAGGGGATTATTACATCTCACTGCCCACTTGAGTTGTTCCTTGAACGAGTTCAGGCTATCCCAGTATTAATGTACTGAAAAATGGCATTTATCCCCATTTGAAGTAGCTGGTGGTGTTGTTTTCTACAACTATTAATTTGTTAAGTCTTCAAATACTAATAGCAATGGAATTTAATGTTGTGAATTATCAAAAATTTTGCTCATAGTACTTGCCACCTGAGTTTGCTCCCCGTCAATTCATGCTAATTATTTGTGCCTTTCTCGACACATACCCTGATTTGAACATAGCACGTTGGTGGTACTTTTTTCTGCCTTTTCTTTTTGGCATACTTTATACAGCTCCAGGGACTGCAGCTACTTTAGGCACAAAAAGCTCTCATGTATTCTTAGTTTTTTACACAACTGTGTGCAGTCCAACTTGTTCTTATAAATGCATTATACAGAATTACAGATAAAAGCTTATATGCATACTAACACTTCTGATTGCAAGTTCAGATGCATGGAGTAGATCAACCTGGTGATTATGTGAAAGTTGCGGTTCTAACTGATCCTCAAGTAATTTTTCTTACGAAATCTTACTTCCAAGTTTTATTTATTGTCTTCTTCTTATATTACTTCAGACCGTAATGTGGATTTCTTATATTAACAGCTCATGGATAAAACCTCCCTTCGCCTTGCTCCAAAATCACTCCTTCTAGAGATTGCACAATTCTATACGGATATCTTCATGCGCAGGGCATTCCTATCATCTGTTTTACCTTTCAAACCTGATGTGGTTTTGTTTCTGGGTGATTATTTTGATGGGGGGCCTGTTCTGTCTGATGAAGAGTAAGGCGTGTATCTCTACTATACAGTTTGATTAGTCTGCTTATGAATTGAGAACAAATGGTTTTGTATTCCTGTCATTTCTTGTTTAAATTTGTATGTTCACCATTTTTAGATATTAAAAGCATGGTGCCCACTTTTGAATTATTTATACGTATAAAATTAATTGAGAGGGATGAATCTCCATTGTGAATTTCTAAATATCTCGACTTTTTTTGCTATTCTTAACAGATGGGATGAATCTCGGAGACGTTTTAGACATATTTTTGACCTAAATATGCTCCAGAGAACTACAAATATTCAAGTCTACTACCTTGCTGGAAACCATGATATTGGCTATGCAGCTGTCCACTCTCATATGCCACAGGTATGTTCGTATGTTATTCATCATTGTAAATGACATGTTCTAGGTGAAGGAGTCTTTATATCAATATTAGTCTCTTTTTTTTTTTTTTTTTGTTGGTTGATAAGAAAACAAACTTTCATTCCATAGAAAGTGAATAATGTACATAAATGGTGGATAAGAAACGAAAGAAAAACAACAAAATTGAAATAAAACTAGCTCAAAGCTGCTTTTCAATTATGCTGTAAAACCCTCCACAACTCCTCTCTTTCCTCTAACATGCTTTCAAAAATTTTGCGATTTCTCTCCAACCAAACCACTCACATAAAAGCACTTCCTCATAATGTCAAAGCTTTTTTTCCTTTTCCAAAACCTTTTAAACGTATCACAAAAAGAGATACACAATCGCAAGGAATAACCCACATCAAATTTGCTTCTCTCAAAAGCTAAATACCACAAAAATATTGCAGTAGGACAATAAAAAAAACAGATGATCAGTACTTTCATTCTTCTCTTTTCACAAAACACACCAATTAGGGGAAAGTTAATTGTTGATTTTTTTTTTTGCAATAAATCACATGTATTCACCTTACCACAGACAATAATCCAAGCAAGCACTTGCAACTTGTCGGGCACTTTAGCCTTCCAAATCATCCAATGAGGTTCAAAAAGTGAATCATTATTGGCATCAATTAGATATTGAACATAGGAGTTATAAAAAAAGAATTCAAAAGAATTCAGAAGAATTAATAGACTAAACTCCTTTATCACTAACCGTAGAATCCAACTGAACTGAATTAATCAAGGGAAGAAGAGAGGTCAACTCCAATGTTTTCCGGTCATTAAGATTACGGAAAAAATTGAAATTCTACCCCTCATGGGAAGAAAAAGAACAACTCAAGCTTTTAACAAACGCATCTTGAGACCTTGATAATTTATACAGCCTAGGAAACAGAGAAGCAAAAGGAAACTTATCTTCTAAATATCCTCCCAAAAACAAATTCTCTCCTTATTTCCCACTCTTACAACAATATGCTTTCTAACCTTTTCTAACCCTTGAAAAATGAATTTCTAAGGATTACGAAAAGAAATTATATTCACCACATTGGAGTCTCATCCATTAGAATGAAATCCATATTTACTTTTGATAATAGAATGCCACAAGTAGGGGTCTGCAAGAATCCGACTTCGCCTTTATCAGAGTCGGATTTTTTTGGAGTCGGAGTCTGCAATCAATTCTGAAAAAATTTTGACTCCAAATCTGACTCCGACTCCGATTTCGACTTTTATTAATTAACAATTTTATATAAATTATATAATATATTATTATAAATCCAAAATCCTAAGTCCAAAGCACCAAAATATTTAAGCCCTGCCCCTAAACACTATAATCCCCCCTCTCTCTCTCACTTAGACACAAACACACAGATGGCTAAGACGAGTCGTGTGAAATGACACAGGCAAGCCCTTCGATCCCCCTTCTCTCTCAGTCAAGGATGCTTGATGTTTTCCGTTGTAGTATCTTAACCTCTTAACATCTTTCCTCAATTGTGTATGGCTTATAGGACTGGGGGAGTGTCACTCTCTCTCAGAATGATGCAAGAGATGGGGCAACGGAATAGTGGAATATGAAATGTACAAAATTTGTGTAATGTTGTGAACAAAAGTGCTCCCCAAGCGCAAGGAGTCTTTTGAGTGTCGTGTTTTACTTGGAAAAGTATTCCAAGATCGTCTCCTTAGGGAAGAAAAGTTCAAGTGTGGTGAAGGTGATTTTGTGAAAATGAAAATTGTAAAATATTTTGTTGTTTTGAGTCTTGGTGAGTTGTGTTCTCAAGAAAAATGAAATGAAAACAAGTGTGGGCTAATCCGAAGAGGTCATTCTAATGGGAATGCCAATTCAACTCGAAATCTTCCTCCAATGGTGAATAGATGAACGATTGATTCATGGGAAGCGAGGGATGAGATAGAAGTGAGGATCCAAGCATAACCCGTGACCAGGCCTACGGGATATCAAAGACTCAAAACCGCATCCACACTCAATCCAGTTAAACTGAACCATCGTACACCGAGAGGAGGAAAAAAATGAGTTGAAATGGCAAACCCAAGAGGAGGTTNCCATCGTACACCGAGAGGAGGAAAAAAATGAGTTGAAATGACAAACCCAAGAGGAGGTCTCCCTTGGATTAGCCAATTAAAAATCTAGCTATTCATGAAAATAAGAAAGAAATACATAATGTAAAGAGACATAATAGAGAAATGAAACATGAAACTTAACTTAATGCAAGAAATCTTAAACTATGAAGAAAAATATGCAATACCCATTTTAAAGTTAGGAAATGAAGAAAACTAGAAAGCAACAATGGTGGAAACTAGAACATGTAACTAAACTTGTAATATACTTGAAATAAATGAGATTAAAGTGCAAGAGTTAAGGAGTACAAGAAATTTAAAGCTTACTACAACTGAAATGGAAAGAAAAATGTAAAAACATAAATTTCTATCTACTATTCATCATCTTCTTCGTTGGAGCTTTCTAAGCTGAGATAGCCATACTTTAATGCTTGGTGAATTCTGAGTATATGGAGTGTGAGAGCTCTGCATTTTTGTCCATAAGGGTCCCCCTAGGTGCGTGATAAGCCTCCTATCCATAGGAGGCTGAGTTGATGCATTGCATAGGCTAAGACAAGCCTAGCTTGCAACTCTCCTGGCTGCCCCCTTCTCTCCCATCCCCATTAATGTTATTGCCTTCAAAGTCTTCCACAAGGGTGCAAGAATCATATAAGTGTGTAAGGGATGTCAGGGGACAAGTGGGGGAATCAATGGTGGGACCCCCAAGCAAGTGGAGCATGGTTTGCAGGTGTTTTGGGCTGTTCAGTAGACGATACCGGTACTGTGTACCGGTACCTCGAACTCCAGAGGCAAAATCGTACCGGTACTGCGTACCAGTACTGTTTCTGTTGTGGACCAGTTTTCGTATAATCATTATAACTTTTGATCCAACCGTCCGATTGAGCTGAAATTTTGACACAATACAGAAGACATCCTGATCTACAACTTTCATGTTTTGCACTTTTTCAGATTCAAAGTGAATCATGGTCAAAAAGGAGGGAAACTGAGGTACTGCTACAAAATAGTGTGGGTGTTGATGCCTATGTTACCAAACACCAATACCTCCTTGATTCCTTTCACTTTTAAGCTTCCAAATCCTCATGTAATGTGTCCATCTCTTCACCACACATCCACACATAGTTGCAAGGTTCTAAAATCTATCATTTATTCTATAATTACATGTAACATCGAAAATTCAACATTATTGACAACTTTGACTAACTCTAAGTACTTAAAATGCAAAAGTTGAGTTAAAATGCATGTAATGAGGCCTTCAAATATGCAATATTATGTGCTCATCAAAGGACTAGCAGCCCAACCCCTCTCTCTCTCTCTCCCCTTCGATGGAATAGTGCTCAGATCCTCAGATCTGAGATATAAGATCTCATGTATCAGATCTGAGATCTTAATGAAATAACTCCGACGATGGTCTCATCTCCGACGAAGCTCTCTCGGATAGTAACTCTTTCTCTCTCTCTATGTGTGTGTGTGTGTGTTTGTGTTTGTGTTTACATTGTAAAAATTATGTACATTGTCTAGTATTTTTTTTATTGTGTCAATTTCCAAAATTCTGGTCTGACTCTGCTCCGACACCGATTGGTGAAGGCGGAAACAATTTATTGCAGAGTCGAAGTCGGAGGAAAAAATTCACTCCGACTAAAGTTGGAGCTGAGGCCGGATTGATGTCTTCTGACGTCGTTGGAGTCGGGGCCCACCCCTAGCCACAAGGAATTAGTCTCAAATGGAAATCTCCAAAGCCACTTTCCTAACAAGACTATATTTCTTTTAATCAAGATGCCGATTGCCAATCCACCTTTTGATTTTAATTTTGACACAACTTCCCATCTTACTAAGTAATTTTTCTTCTCTTCCCCACATCCTTCCCATAATAAAATCTTTTATCATCCTCTCCAAAATGTTCACCACTTTCCTAGGTAACTTAAAAAGACTTATGAAATATGTAGGAATACTACCCAAAACCAATATTAGTCTATTATAATAACATGCTTCTTCTTGTTTTCCTGTGGTGATGGTGATGGTGGATAAGTACTTACAATGAAACTTCTATATAATCCAAGATGATGTGCTGAGTAGTGTCCTATATTCCTATTATGATTATTTCTAGAAGTTCTAGGATCTATATCCAAAACTAAAATTGGGGGAATAGTAGGATTGCGAAAAGATCTTGTTCAGTCAGTTCAAACTTGTTTGGTAAGTGAATCATACCTTTCTTGGTCTGTTGTTTTTGTTTCCTAAGAAAATAAGGTTAAGTGGTGAAATGATGCCTGGAATGTTCAGGCTTGTTTGAGCGAGCTGCTCTCCTTGTTTTAGGATTAAAAAAAAAAAAAATTGAATGAGCAGGTCATCTTATTTAAGTTCAAAACAAATCTAAAACAACACTGTTTGCATCTTTTTATTTAAAAGATGCTCATGTCATGGAGATATTAGCTCTGTTACAGTTTTGTAAAGCCATTACTGTTGCCATCTTTAAAATCAAGCTATTAGTCAAGCTTGAAAACCGAGCTTAGCGCAGAGCAAAATTGAACCGAGCCTAGATGTATTATTCCCTAGCTTGGGTCATTTGACCCTGGGAATTGGTCCTTTTTTTTTTTCATTACATGACTAGCTCTATACATAACATAAATGCTATACTTATGAATAATCGATCTTTTGGGTCTTTTTGTGATTATCTGCCACTTTTTGAAGTGTTGTTTAAATGGTATATTGTAGAATCTTCCCACTAATTACTGATGCTACCGCTCATTAGTCTTCCACCGCAAATTCTTTTGGTGTATGATCTCCTGTTTTTACGTGTGTACAGGTTATCAAACGTTATGAGAAAGAATTTGGTGCAAGGAACTATAGATTCACAGCAGGGAAAGTGGATTTCATTGCCATTGATGCCCAAACACTGGATGGTAAATGACACAGTCAACTACAGGTTTTTTACCCTCTATCATTGATGACATTTTGTCCCTTTCCAGCTTCCTTCTTCTCCCCCCCCCCCAATCTTTTTTCTCTCCTTTTTGGTTCAATGGCTGGGTTCTCTTCATTTGTGTCACGCTAGATATGTCTGCTGGTAACCACATTTGNGGTTGTAAAACGTACTGAATGCCATGATCCTATATGACGAGTACCTCGGGGGCGAGGACCTTGTGCGCCGATGGTGCTTGATCTTAGCAACAGTGTTTTGGTAATACCGAGGACACGTGTCTTCATCATGGAGCATTTCAGAAAAGTCCCATCATTATCTTAGTCATTGGCAGCATCACGTGGAACCAGGTTGTGAGCTGTGTCATGTTTGCCCTTCAAGATTATATCAGCACAAGCTTGGGATTCTTTTTTGTTATAAATTTCAGTCTGATTTCATGGTTGTCAGAAATTTTGCCATTTGAAATATTCTCGTGTCCTCATCTTCTTTATTATGCCTTGAGAATCTTAGTTTTATATCTTTGGATTTTTTTTCCATTTTTTTTTTTGGGGGGCTTCAATTTCTATTTGATAATTTATTTTCTGTAGTTTGAGCCTACANGCCATTTGAAATATTCTCATGTCCTCATCTTCTTTATTATGCCTTGAGAATCTTAGTTTTATAGCTTTGGATTTTTTTTCCATTTTTTTTTTTGGGGGCTTCAATTTCTATTTGATAATTTATTTTCTGTAGTTTGAGCCTACAGACGGATTCTGGTGGTGAGCTGTTGATTAGTTTACCTGCTTGTTCTACCTTAGTTTCGTGGTCATATACCATACTTTTCTTTCATGGTCATATACCTTGCAAACAACTTGAATGAGGTCGACCGTGAATATAAAACTGCTCAAATTCCATAGATTCAGGGGAATTTAAGGGTTTTCTTCACCCTATTAGTGTGTCTATTGACTATTCTGCTCCAATATATTGTGTAGTCTAACTGTAGTCTAATGGGCGTTGCATTTTTGTTGAATGGAAACTGTGTTGTTTATCATGTCATTTGATTCGAATTCAATGACTTTTGTTGCATGCAATCAAATTATTAGATTCTCTCTTCTTGTTTCAGATGAGTGGTCATAATGTTAACATCTGGTGTCTTTAATTACTAGAAAAGCAGTAGGGGTAATCTTCAATTACCAGTAGGGGAACCACTCATATGGTGACTCATGGCTANATTCTCTCTTCTTGTTTCAGATGAGTGGTCATAATGTTAACATCTGGTGTCTTTAATGACTAGAAAAGCAGTAGGGGTAATCTTCAATTACCAGTAGGGGAACCACTCATATGGTGACTCATGGCTACATCACAGTATGATTCATGGCTATATGTGGGATACAACTGCCCCTTAGGTGGGCCAGGATGAGGTAACCGGCCTGCTACCACAAGCCCAATGGCAGTACAAAGGGTAGATGTGGCTCTAAAATAAGTCTCAGGTTTGGCCTGTTGGGAAAAAGGGTACAAGACTCGAACTCTTAACTAAGCACTCATGGCCTTGGCCCAGGGCAGAGCCTCGAATGCCTAAGAAGCATGGAACAGACTACAAGGCAACCATACTATGTACCAATGTTTGTTACATATAATCTGGGTTGAGATACCAAATTATTGGGGGCTAAAGAGACCTGCTAGCAAGTCATTGCCCCAACTTTGTGGCTGAGGAGGCATGACACCCATAGTGCCTCTTTCTCATGTCCATTGCAAGCACACCTTGTGCAAATCTTGTCCTTGATCATTAGACATTCGACAAATTGCTTCCATTTTATTTCCAGTATAGACTTGTGCATGCTCAGGTACCAAGAAGGGGAAACCCTGCTGCCGAGCTATTAAGCACTGAGAATCCAAAGCCTTGATATTCTCAATTCTATGTGCTCTGCAAATTAAGCTTGCCTGAGGCACTTGTCCCACCACCTTTCCCACTCATCTAGCTCTTTTCCAAAGCAGGTTTACCTATTTTTTGTGTCATTAACTGCTCACCTTAAACAAGCAATTAACTAATTCATATCCATGGGACTTTCTCACACGTGAAAATAAAACAAAGAAATTATAGCTTATAAATATTCAAATTCTATTTCTCTGCTCTTCTTTCTTAATTTTCTTTTTCCCTTTGTCCTAATTCTCACACTTTCATTAATCATCTATAGAAGAATTGCCTGGAGTCTCCTCATCAACTTTATATTACACAGTACGATGGAGAATCAAGTTTTTTGTTTTTTTATTCTGATAGTGTATGCTTATATGTTTGATCTGTTAACAGGGCATCCCCTAGGAAACCTGTCCTCTGCCACCTGGAATTTTGTCAAAAATGTCTGCAAGGGTATGTAATGCTGACTAAAAATATATATGCTATTGGTTTAGCACTTCCCAGATGATAATAAGTCTGTTCTGTCCCTTGCACTCTTCTAGACATCACTGCCACTCCAAGGGTGTTATTGACTCATATCCCATTGTATCGGCCAGATTGGACTTCCTGTGGTCCACATCGCTCTTCCCCAATTATCAATCAGGTACCTTAGACTTTTGTCAGTGTATGTATATGTGAAGTTGAGGTTTGAAAATAAGAAGTTGTTGATAGATCTCAATTTACCTGTTTTTCCATGTTCTTGGTGATTGTCAATGTACTTAATCAGTGGACTTGAATTTAAATGCATTTGTTTCTGCCAATAGTATACCTTATTGTATTTTCCTTTTTTATTTTTATCAGAGGGTTTCTCGTGCTGCTGATAGTCAAGAAATATTGTAAGCTTCCTGTCTTGTTTCATGTGCTAGCTAAATTTGAGTTACAGTAGTTTGGACACGNTACCTTATTGTATTTTCCTTTTTTATTTTTATCAGAGGGTTTCTCGTGCTGCTGATAATCAAGAAATATTGTAAGCTTCCTGTCTTGTTTCATGTGCTAGCTAAATTTGAGTTACAGTAGTTTGGACACACCAACTACTGATATTCCAAGATGCATTCTGATGGTTGATCAACTGGTACAGGTACCAGAATTATATCACCGAAGAAAAAACAAATGAGTTACTGAACTTGATAAGACCTGTATGTTTTCTCTTCCTTACTTGATGCATGATAAAAGCAGATCATTAATAGAATAAACAAGAAAGGTAACAAAATGATCGAGGGATCCATATTTTGATGCCTTAATTTGAGTTTCAACAGGCAGTCATCCTGTCTGGTCATGATCACGATCAGTGTACAGTTACTCACATGTCTCAGCATGGGCCTGTGAGGGAGGTAAGCATCTTCTCCTTTTCTTTTTGAAGGGGTTATAACTTTTTTGCCGATGGGTTGTGGTTGACTAGTAATATTGTGCAGCATACTGTAGGGACCATTAGCTGGCAGCAGGGGAATTTGTATCCGTCCTTTATGCTGTTGTCTGCGAGCAATATTTCATTTCCCAATGCATCGACTCCGGAGGATGCGACATCTACTCAGCTGTGCTTCCTTCCTGTGCAAACACATATTTACATATGGTAATTTATTATGTTGATGAGCAGTTGGGTGGGGTTGCTAATAAATAATTTCTTGTTGGCATTTGTTTGAAACGTCATTTGCTGAAAATGCCAGGTATCTTTCTCTGTTTGTTGTGACACTTCTTGTTGTCCTCCTTTGGCCAACAAATGGAGCGATCTTTTTGCGTCACTTGGGTGATTTTATGGGGAATATCAGAAGTCTAATTAGCTGCAACATTTTCAGAGGTGGAACAAAAGAGAAAAATGAAGATGAGAATTGTGAGTATGAGATGATTTGGGATGCTGAAGGATCGATGCACCTAATCAAAAAAACCATGAAAGCCCCTACAACATGTTCAAGTGAGAGGGGCGTGGTAGAAAGGTGCGTTTCAGTTGTTTGACTCACTTTTGGTGGTAGATTTGAGTTCGTGTTTCTACTAAATGCTTGATTGTGTGTGCTTGTGTCTGAGATAATTGCTGTTCACATGAAAAAGAGAGCTTTTTAAGATCACACTCGATGCTCCACACGAAAAAAACCATATAACTTGTCATTCAACCATTTCTTTTCTCATNGTTCACATGAAAAAGAGAGCTTTTTAAGATCACACTCGATGCTCCACACGAAAAAAAACCATATAACTTGTCATTCAACCATTTCTTTTCTCATTGAAGTATGTGCCCCCATGCACAGACAAAATACAATTCACATATCACTCTTTGCGTGCTTGTACATATAGTATTGTTGATGATCTCCGTTGTATGTTCTGTTCATGTCTAGTGTGTGCCATGCAAATGTTTGTCCTTAATCTAGTAATGACGATAATTCCAGCTTTTGCCTGCTTAAGGCTCTATATCATGACTTCAAGCACCAAACTTTAATAAATTATCTGTGGATTTACCCCTACCTTTTGTCACTAGCTGTAGAAGATGAGGTTTATTTGACCTGTTTGGGATGCTGGAGGATATATTTGTGGTTTAACGTTGATACATTGTTCAAACAGATGCCCTAATACTGGCAATATGCTTGTGATCTCACTGGCACTCAAACGTAACGCACATTCGAACTGACGGACTCCTACTTAGTTTCTCGAATTAGTTTTCTTTTCATCTTGTTCCATTTGATATTCAATTCATCTTAGTTATTGGTACTGCCGTATGTGAAACACAATGCTTACTTCAGCACATTAATCCACCGTTACTTGTGTGTCTGTATTTAGTAATGGACCTATCCTGTAGCACGAGAAGGTTCAGTGCCCGACTTACGCATGATATTACCACAAATTGCAGGGGCAATGCTGTGATGCGGTCAACAGCTAAAAAACAGACTGCACAGGATATAATTGTCTCGATGCCATCGGATGTGAATGTACATGTGGGGTTGGATGATATGCCAAAGTTACCAACTAGAACGATCAAATCAAGGACGGCGACAATGGTGATCCGGAGATTGATCTGGACTTTCCGAGTGCTGACAGTTATTGCTGCAGTGAATGTTCCTCTCTACATGATGCTTCTGTTCAAGGATTGGATTGACAAATAATGTCAGAAGTGATTGTTGTCACATTGGTTCCGCTTATGGATAGGATGGATGAGATACCTTAGTAGGAGGGTTCAAGCTCACGATTTGCATTATATGGACCTAATGATCGAGTTAGCCAACCCTATTTACTTAGGCCTTTTCAATCAAGTTTAAAATACAGTACTGAACACAACAAAAGTTGGGACTTTTGGCAACGTTTTAAGCACTGCTTCTATTGGACATCTCAGAGGTTAGTATTCTGTTCATTGGTTGTTATTGTTCCTGGAAATTCTGTAGAAGCACCCCAATACCTCCCATGCATATAGTGGCTGCACTAGGTTACCCACCCAATCGCACATCTCTTGATTGGATATGCGTGGAGCCCTTTATAAATAGGGCCGGCTTAGAGGGTAAGTCTCTTAAAACCCCCATTTATTAAGTATTCTTATTTGGCCCAATAAAATTTAGTATTAATAAGGCGCACACATAGCAAAGTCCATATTGTAAAGAAGATGGTTTAACTTCTTTCTCTTCATTAAAGGCAGCACTTCTCTCTTTTCATTAATAACAACAAATAATTTCACTTAATAGAAAAGAGCAATGCTATTGAGACTTAATTTATTGACTTAATTCATTGTGACCTTTGGATTCACTGTAAATTTTATTCAACATTGGAACTTGATGTTGATCTCATGATTTCTATGAAGTCATATCATTATGTCAGTAAATTGTGTCAGATTTTTAGGTCTAAATATAACACATACCTGTATCACCAAAAAAATCCAAAGAGTAATATTATTTGGACTTAAAAATCTGAATTAATTTGTTGACATAATGATGTGGTTTCATAGAAACTATTGGATCAACATCAAGTTCCAATATTTGATGGGGTTTATAGTGAATTCAAAGGTTATATAATGAATTAGATCAACAAATTATATTAATAAATTAGGTTCCAATATCATTGCTCAAATCGAAATCCTCTCTCTCTCTCTAGAATATCACAATTTGAACTCAAAACAACTATAAAAAAGAAAAATTGCATTACCTGCTTTACTAGGAAAAAAATGTTGTTAGTCCGTCGTCTCTCCATCCCTCCATTAACAAATGTACGCATATAGATCATCTTAGTCTTACGTTGGATTGCAAAGGCATTAATTTTTTTTTATTTAATAAATTTATATTTTCAATAATATAATTTAATCTAATTTTACTGTTCTTCTTGTTGACCGTCGTTAGACTTAATAGACGAAGTAATGCTAGATTGACTTAAAAATTAGACTTAATATTCTCAATCATTGAATAGGTAGTGAGTCCCAATAAATGCTGTGACCAACAGTGAAATCAATGGTTGAAATTTTCAAGTCTAATTTTTAAATTCATGTAACATTGCTGTAATAGACGATTTGAAATACAAACAAAGATTCAAAGTTTATATTCGATCTCTATTTATTAGCTATTATTGTTTAATTTCATTTTTAACAATATTCTAAAGAAATTGCAGTAGTTTAGTCATATTATCAACAAAAAAACTTAAATTAACAAAATTTGAATATAGAAACTTAATTATTAATTTTGTATCACAAAAAAGCTGGAACAATAATTTTTAATCATATATCTTATAAATTTATTATTAATTTTAAAAGGTCCCATTTATCATTTTTGTTTATGGCCTCAAATTTCATTGGGCAACCCTGTAGTTTTGCACATTCATTATACAACGCATCTAAAACCGTGCACATTTTGTCCAAAACAAGCAATATTTTGCAATGTGGATCCAAGGCCGTATGGCTCTCATCGAAAATGGAGCAAGGTAGATGATTAGCATAAACATAAACCATGCTTTTATTAGGCTAAGGATTACATCAATAACCCTTGCTTATTCTTAACTACGACACATAATCTTACATAAGTTCGACAAACAACGTGCAGTATTCCCCTCCATTTCATGCATTATTTTATTTTAGAAGGAGGGAGAAAGACTAACATCCACATACAGAGTACTTGTACAAGTTCTACTCAACTCTACTTCATGCCCTTGGCGGGTTATCTTCTAAGCAATGTTGATGTGCAAAGATCCCTCAACGTAGCCTCCTGGTTTTCAAGATACCCCGTTGGTTGAAAAAACTATAAGACTCTGGCCATGAATCTCTTCTGCGCCAGCAAACCTAATGGACTTTCGCCAATTAGGTCAAAAAAGGGAATGACACATGAGAGAGAGAGAGGCCATAAACCAGACCATAAGAAGAACCAAACTGGATCGGCAATGGGACGAAGCCAAAAAGCTGAGGAGAGTAAGGAGAAACATATTCTCAAAAACAGTTTTCGGATAATGTTTTTTGAGACACAAAACAGAGTTTTTGTTTTTAAAAACATATATCTTAGGACCAAAGCTTTACTAACACCCTTGTGTAAACAACATAAATGAAAATAACTACGATATAGTTATTTCCATAACTATATTTCAAGTTTGCTAGTAGGATTAATTTGCAAGAAGAAAAAAAAAGAAGAGAGAGAGAGAGAGAGAGTTGCGGAGGGCATTGCTAGTCATCTCCTTGAATGTACCAGCAGAGAAGCATGGTGGCACATCGACGGAGGATGTAAATTCGGGCTCGTTGTTGCTTAACCAAGGAAGCGCACTTCCTGGTGAATCCATGACCACCCTTTCTCTTTGAAGGAGTACACACTGCACTCTTGCATTGTTGCTTGAGCTCAGCCATTGTTGGTAATTAAGTGAGTGAGATAGATTTAGTTGAAAGAGAAAAGAAAAAAAAACATGGGAAAAAAGCTCACTATTCGGAGCTGGACCCTAAGAGATATTGAGAGGGAGAAACCATGTATTTATACGAAGAAAGGGTTGACTGGGTTTTGAAAGAGGGGGAGTGAACTTGGTCACAGGGTTTTGCATGAAAAGGTGTAGCCCAGCTTTGTTTTTGGAACTAGAGGAGGGGGTGAACGTGGGCATGGATTTTTCTGTGTTAAAAATTAGGGTTTGGTGAAGTAAAGAAGAAGGAAGGATTGTTAAGTAGAACTTATCTGGAGATTTAATACAGTGTATGTTGGGAGATTAGGGAGTTTAGTGATTGAAGGTCCAATATAAAAACAAACATTCACTTAAAAGCTTTTTATGTTCACTTTAGAGCATATTTGATATGTGGTTTTGGATGGGATTTAAAAGTTGAGTTTTGGAAAAATAGTCCAATATATCTTCTAATATCATGTTTGGTTTAAGATNGTTTAACGTTGATACATTGTTCAAACAGATGCCCTAATACTGGCAATATGCTTGTGATCTCACTGGCACTCAAACGTAACGCACATTCGAACTGACGGACTCCTACTTAGTTTCTCGAATTAGTTTTCTTTTCATCTTGTTCCATTTGATATTCAATTCATCTTAGTTATTGGTACTGCCGTATGTGAAACACAATGCTTACTTCAGCACATTAATCCACCGTTACTTGTGTGTCTGTATTTAGTAATGGACCTATCCTGTAGCACGAGAAGGTTCAGTGCCCGACTTACGCATGATATTACCACAAATTGCAGGGGCAATGCTGTGATGCGGTCAACAGCTAAAAAACAGACTGCACAGGATATAATTGTCTCGATGCCATCGGATGTGAATGTACATGTGGGGTTGGATGATATGCCAAAGTTACCAACTAGAACGATCAAATCAAGGACGGCGACAATGGTGATCCGGAGATTGATCTGGACTTTCCGAGTGCTGACAGTTATTGCTGCAGTGAATGTTCCTCTCTACATGATGCTTCTGTTCAAGGATTGGATTGACAAATAATGTCAGAAGTGATTGTTGTCACATTGGTTCCGCTTATGGATAGGATGGATGAGATACCTTAGTAGGAGGGTTCAAGCTCACGATTTGCATTATATGGACCTAATGATCGAGTTAGCCAACCCTATTTACTTAGGCCTTTTCAATCAAGTTTAAAATACAGTACTGAACACAACAAAAGTTGGGACTTTTGGCAACGTTTTAAGCACTGCTTCTATTGGACATCTCAGAGGTTAGTATTCTGTTCATTGGTTGTTATTGTTCCTGGAAATTCTGTAGAAGCACCCCAATACCTCCCATGCATATAGTGGCTGCACTAGGTTACCCACCCAATCGCACATCTCTTGATTGGATATGCGTGGAGCCCTTTATAAATAGGGCCGGCTTAGAGGGTAAGTCTCTTAAAACCCCCATTTATTAAGTATTCTTATTTGGCCCAATAAAATTTAGTATTAATAAGGCGCACACATAGCAAAGTCCATATTGTAAAGAAGATGGTTTAACTTCTTTCTCTTCATTAAAGGCAGCACTTCTCTCTTTTCATTAATAACAACAAATAATTTCACTTAATAGAAAAGAGCAATGCTATTGAGACTTAATTTATTGACTTAATTCATTGTGACCTTTGGATTCACTGTAAATTTTATTCAACATTGGAACNGTTATAAAATTTAAAATATTTGATATTATACCTTTAATTAAAATATTTTTGATCTAACTATAATATTTTAAATTTAATGGGTCTAAATATTACACGATTACAAACTTCAGAAAGTTTAAGTATAATTTACTAACAAATATACTAAAAGACCTTAACGGTAAGAGTCTAAGTGATATGCGCAGNGATGAACGAACCCATAGTCAACTCCTTTTATCTGCTAGATTTTGAATATTTTTCTTGTTATATAATACTACATCTTTTAGCCATTGAAAGGTGACCATCTTTTGACATAGTTTGTACTATTGAGGGGTGTTAGTGTAATTTTTTCAAAGTCTTCCAAATATGTTTTGTTTGGGACGATAGAAAATAAAATGATGAAAAGTTGGAAGAATAAAAAAAAATCGGAAATATAGATAAATAAAATAATAAATAACCAAAAAAAGAAGNCATATCATTATGTCAGTAAATTGTGTCAGATTTTTAGGTCTAAATATAACACATACCTGTATCACCAAAAAAATCCAAAGAGTAATATTATTTGGACTTAAAAATCTGAATTAATTTGTTGACATAATGATGTGGTTTCATAGAAACTATTGGATCAACATCAAGTTCCAATATTTGATGGGGTTTATAGTGAATTCAAAGGTTATATAATGAATTAGATCAACAAATTATATTAATAAATTAGGTTCCAATATCATTGCTCAAATCGAAATCCTNATTTTGTATACTTGTAATCACTATCACTTGTCAATTCCACGTATATGGTAAACACCGAAATCAGCAAAAACAAAACCAAGATGATTATATTTAAGATTTGTCCTAAACAAACATTAAAAAAATTATAAAATAATAAAAATTATAAAATNAACAACTATAAAAAAGAAAAATTGCATTACCTGCTTTACTAGGAAAAAAATGTTGTTAGTCCGTCGTCTCTCCATCCCTCCATTAACAAATGTACGCATATAGATCATCTTAGTCTTACGTTGGATTGCAAAGGCATTAATTTTTTTTTATTTAATAAATTTATATTTTCAATAATATAATTTAATCTAATTTTACTGTTCTTCTTGTTGACCGTCGTTAGACTTAATAGACGAAGTAATGCTAGATTGACTTAAAAATTAGACTTAATATTCTCAATCATTGAATAGGTAGTGAGTCCCAATAAATGCTGTGACCAACAGTGAAATCAATGGTTGAAATTTTCAAGTCTAATTTTTAAATTCATGTAACATTGCTGTAATAGACNGAGTGTGTACAAATCTCATCATTGCATGTTTAAGGTTCTAGTGATGTACAGGTAGCTATAGCAATATAATATATGAGGGGGTGTTTTTTTTTTTTGTGAGAATTACATTTTGACCCCCTAAGATTTATTACTTAATCACTCATACCCTTGATATTTGAAATATTACACATAGACCCTTTAATACCACTTAGATCCCTGTCGTCAATATCTGATAATATATCCGTTAGTCAATTATATTTAGACCTCCTGAAGTTTGTAGACATGTAATACTTAAACTTTTTAAGCNTAGCTATTATTGTTTAATTTCATTTTTAACAATATTCTAAAGAAATTGCAGTAGTTTAGTCATATTATCAACAAAAAAACTTAAATTAACAAAATTTGAATATAGAAACTTAATTATTAATTTTGTATCACAAAAAAGCTGGAACAATAATTTTTAATCATATATCTTATAAATTTATTATTAATTTTAAAAGGTCCCATTTATCATTTTTGTTTATGGCCTCAAATTTCATTGGGCAACCCTGTAGTTTTGCACATTCATTATACAACGCATCTAAAACCGTGCACATTTTGTCCAAAACAAGCAATATTTTGCAATGTGGATCCAAGGCCGTATGGCTCTCATCGAAAATGGAGCAAGGTAGATGATTAGCATAAACATAAACCATGCTTTTATTAGGCTAAGGATTACATCAATAACCCTTGCTTATTCTTAACTAGGACACATAATCTTACATAAGTTCGACAAACAACGTGCAGTATTCCCCTCCATTTCATGCATTATTTTATTTTATAAGGAGGGAGAAAGACTAACATCCACATACAGAGTACTTGTACAAGTTCTACTCAACTCTACTTCATGCCCTTGGCGGGTTATCTTCTAAGCAATGTTGATGTGCAAAGATCCCTCAACGTAGCCTCCTGGTTTTCAAGATACCCCGTTGGTTGAAAAAACTATAAGACTCTAGCCATGAATCTCTTCTGCGCCAGCAAACCTAATGGACTTTCGCCAATTAGGTCAAAAAAGGGAATGAGACATGAGAGAGAGAGGCCATAAACCAGACCATAAGAAGAACCAAACTGGATCGGCAATGGGACGAAGCCAAAAAGCTGAGGAGAGTAAGGAGAAACATATTCTCAAAAACAGTTTTCGGATAATGTTTTTTGAGACACAAAACAGAGTTTTTGTTTTTAAAAACATATATCTTAGGACCAAAGCTTTACTAACACCCTTGTGTAAACAACATAAATGAAAATAACTATGATATAGTTATTTCCATAAATATATTTCAAGTTTGCTAGTAGGATTAATTTGTAAGAAGAAAAAAAAAGAAGAGAGAGAGAGAGAGAGAGAGAGAGTTGCGGAGGGCATTGCTAGTCATCTCCTTGAATGTACCAGCAGAGAAGCATGGTGGCACATCGACGGAGGATGTAAATTCGGGCTCGTTGTTGCTTAACCAAGGAAGCGCACTTCCTGGTGAATCCATGACCACCCTTTCTCTTTGAAGGAGTACACACTGCACTCTTGCATTGTTGCTTGAGCTCAGCCATTGTTGGTAATTAAGTGAGTGAGATAGATTTAGTTGAAAGAGAAAAGAAAAAAAAACATGGGAAAAAAGCTCACTATTCGGAGCTGGACCCTAAGAGATATTGAGAGGGAGAAACCATGTATTTATACGAAGAAAGGGTTGACTGGGTTTTGAAAGAGGGGGAGTGAACTTGGTCACAGGGTTTTGCATGAAAAGGTGTAGCCCAGCTTTGTTTTTGGAACTAGAGGAGGGGGTGAACGTGGGCATGGATTTTTCTGTGTTAAAAATTAGGGTTTGGTGAAGTAAAGAAGAAGGAAGGATTGTTAAGTAGAACTTATCTGGAGATTTAATACAGTGTATGTTGGGAGATTAGGGAGTTTAGTGATTGAAGGTCCAATATAAAAACAAACATTCACTTAAAAGCTTTTTATGTTCACTTTAGAGCATATTTGATATGTGGTTTTGGATGGGATTTAAAAGTTGAGTTTTGGAAAAATAGTCCAATATATCTTCTAATATCATGTTTGGTTTAAGATTTGAAGATCAGGATTCATAGGATATATAAATCTCGATCCATAGTGAATAGTTGACTAAAACTTACAAATGGGGGGTAGGTTTCAAAATTTAGAGTTGGATTTGTAGATAAAAAAAATTATTTTACCCAAAAAATTATCCTTTTATTCACTTAAGAATGAATATTTTAATAAATTGAGCAATATGATTTGATATAAATATATGGATCGTACATGTATATAATCATCTGCCAAATATGAGATTGAATAAGGTTTTTATTTGAATACCATGTACAAATCTTTGGGACCGGATTTGAGAAAGTTTCTTAAATTCAATCCAAACCCCCCAAAATATAAACATCCAAACAAGTTTTAAGAGTTTGAGGCATTGTATATATTGAGCCTTGGATCAATGGTCTCTCAGTCTCCAACAAATGATATCAAAGTTGATAACTTACGATTCTGAATGAACTTTCGAAAAAACAGTGTAACGTGTTGGTATTAATGATAGATCTAAAAAAAAAAGCGATAGAGAAATCATGAAAATGTAGCAATTGGTATTAGATTAGTGTCGAGTTATAATGTTGGATGAAATTCACATTTAATTTAATAGTCATAAATTTTATTAAATTAAACCTTCATATTAGGTAAAAATAGAAATTTCGATTGATAATGTATAGTTGTTTGAGAGAAAGTAGATTAGAGAAGTGGTAAAGGAGCCATGAGAGAAGCAGAGGCGCTTAGTCATGACAAGGCAAGGGAAGGGATACGGGGAACAGGGTGGTCGGCTACCGTGGCTAGTTCCAAGGTCCTTTCTCTCTCTCTCTCTCTCTCTCATACACACATATCCATGATCCATCTAGAGTTAATTACTCCCTTAATTTATTACTTAATCCATCTTTTGATGTAGTTTGTACTCGTGTGCTGGAACAGCCTTGCTTTCTTGGAATAAGTTTGGCTGTTTGTTAGTAAAATACACTAACATCCCTCCAAGTTTATTGGAAGTACATTGTACTGCTTATAATTTTAAAACTAACCCTCAATCCTAAGGAATTATGATGAACGAACCCATAGTCAACTCCTTTTATCTGCTAGATTTTGAATATTTTTCTTGTTATATAATACTACATCTTTTAGCCATTGAAAGGTGACCATCTTTTGACATAGTTTGTACTATTGAGGGGTGTTAGTGTAATTTTTTCAAAGTCTTCCAAATATGTTTTGTTTGGGACGATAGAAAATAAAATGATAGAAAGTTGGAAGAATAAAAAAAAATCGGAAAGCAACTTACCACTTACCAGCTGTTTTCGGCTAGAATAATTTTCGTCCTTGTCCCCCAAATAAACCAGTGCATTGATTCTTACACAAGACACAATCTTTGACTTTGAGTATGAACCACAAGAACCCTGAATTTACATATAAGATTTTTCTTGATAATCAGATTTTGGCATGTGATTACTGAGATTTGCTACACGAATTTGATATCGATTTGGGTTGATCTTCAGACAACATCAATCTTCATAGATTCAACTGTTCACTTCACCTCGTAAAAACAATCGAGTGTGTACAAATCTCATCATTGCATGTTTAAGGTTCTAGTGATGTACAGGTAGCTGTAGCAATATAATATATGAGGGGGTGTTTTTTTTTTTTTTTTTTGTGAGAATTACATTTTGACCCCTTAAGATTTATTACTTAATCACTCAGACCCTTGATATTTGAAATATTACACATAAATCTTTTAATACCACTTAGATCCCTGTCGTCAATATCTGATAATATATCCGTTAGTCAATTATATTTAGACCTCCTGAAGTTTGTAAACATATAATACTTAAACTTTTTAAGCTTAAAATGTTATGCTTAGACAAAAAATACTTCAATTAAAAATAAAATATCAAATATTTTAATTTTTATAACTAAAATTTATGTTCTACTGTATCATTTATTGAAATAAAAATAAAAATAAAAATATAATTTTTTCTTAAAAAATTGTAATTTAATATACAATTATATTACCTAATTGAATAAAACTAAAAAATCAAACAAAGAGTCTAAGTCATTCATAATAAAATATAAATTTTACAACTAAAATTTATGTTTTATTATGACATTTATTGAAATAAAATAAAATAAATTATAATTTTTTAAGAAAAAATTAAATTATAATTAATTTGATTTATTTCAATAAATGTCATAATAGAACATGAATTTTGATTGTAAAATTTAAAATATTTGATATTATATTTTTAATTGAAGTATTTTTATTCTAAGTATAACATTTTAAATTTGAAGGGTTTAAGTATAATTTAAGAGGTCTGAGTGTAATTTACTACAGATACTAATCGACCTTAACGGCGAATCAGCGAAAACAAAATCAAGATGATTAAATTTGCAATAAAACATGACTATAATTTGATTATTGAAATAAAATCAAACTAATTATAATTTTTTAAGAAAAAATTAGATTTTTATTTTTAATTTTATTTCAATAAATGTGATAATAGAATATAAACTTTTGTTATAAAATTTAAAATATTTGATATTATACCTTTAATTAAAATATTTTTGATCTAACTATAATATTTTAAATTTAATGGGTCTAAATATTACACGATTACAAACTTCAGAAAGTTTAAGTATAATTTACTAACAAATATACTAAAAGACCTTAACGGTAAGAGTCTAAGTGATATGCGCAGACAAACTTTAAGGTTCTATGTGTAATATTTTAAATGTCAGAGAGTTTGAGTGATTAAATAACAAATTAAGGTTCTAAGTGTAATGCTTTTTTTTTTNTTTTTTTTTTTTTTTTTTTTTTTTTGTGTATTTAATGACAAAAAAACTTTTTAAGACCGGACATAATGAATTTTGTATACTTGTAATCACTATCACTTGTCAATTCCACGTATATGGTAAACACCGGAATCAGCAAAAACAAAACCAAGATGATTATATTTAAGATTTGTCCTAAACTAACATTAAAAAAATTATAAAATTATAAAAATTATAAAAAAGAAAATTATATATATGACACCTTTAAATTGGTCAAAAAAGTAAAAGAACGGGATGAGACTGTAATTATAGAATCAAAAGGAACGGTTACCAAAAAGTTGGGAGCAGTGAATGAACTACAACCGCAAAAGCAAATAAAAAAAAGGGCATTGAAATGTTCAATGAATAAACTGAAGATAGCTTTCCTTCCAAGAAAATACCATTCACTAGGTGAAGATCATTGTATAAGTTCTAAGTTAGGACCAAATACAGTGTATGTCCCAAAGTCTAGCATAAAGATATCACTAATTAGTGGTTGAAGTAAGCAGCTTATATATATATATATATATGTTTAGCTTAGCAAAGATGACTATGGAACAAGATAACAAATAAAACAACAATACTTTAATAAAAAATAGAGCAAGAATGAATACCCCACTGAGAAGAACCTCCTTCAAGGGGGCTCGTAGGAGGTACAGTTGTTGGAAATGTTTCTACATGTATAAAAAATTACTTTTAAAGAGCTTGCCACTCTGGGGGATTACCCTTTTCTTGATTCTTTTTATTTTTTTCCACCTTTTGTTCTCTCTGAGACAACATTGTTGGACACCTTCTATCAACAAGCCTTCATTCGTCTTTCGTTGTGTACTTGCAAAAGTTTTGTCTCATTTCTCTATTGATATGGTTAGACGAGGCTTGTCTCAGCAAGCTTTCTCTGACCCCGGTTAACAAGCAACTCATAATCCTGCAAAGTGTAACACATGAAGAATGGATAGTGGACACAAAGGCATCAAATCTCTATTTTATCATAACAACCATTCAAGTGTAAAAGTTGGAGAGCTGAGCCCAGGCTTGTGCTGCAACCCTAACATACTAAAGAAATTTCAAGTGGACATGGGTCCACTGAGCTGTTACCTGTACAATAGCTTGTGCACAAAGCTTTCCTGATAGAACAGCGCCTTCCATTGAAGCCAAATACTTTTGTTTTGTGTAATCACCAGCTAAATAAAATCCTTCTATAGGAGATCTTTGTAAGGGACGGCAAGGTTCACAGTCTGGTACAGTTTTATAAACAGACCTGAAAAGGAAGACCCAGTCAGGCTTCTGTAGGAATAACAAACCAACTGCAATGCAATTCTCTGTCATGGATTAAAGTTACCAGAAACTTTAATAACCCAACACATAAGGGAGATAACTAGTGTAGTGGTGTAGGGTGCTGCAAGCTTAAGCTGAGTTATAGTGCAGTNTCACAGTCTGGTACAGTTTTATAAACAGACCTGAAAAGGAAGACCCAGTCAGGCTTCAGTAGGAATAACAAACCAACTGCAATGCAATTCTCTGTCATGGATTAAAGTTACCAGAAACTTTAATAACCCAACACATAAGGTAGATAACTAGTGTAGTGGTGTAGGGTGCTGCAAGCTTAAGCTGAGTTATAGTGCAGCNACATCAATAACCCTTGCTTATTCTTAACTAGGACACATAATCTTACATAAGTTCGACAAACAACGTGCAGTATTCCCCTCCATTTCATGCATTATTTTATTTTATAAGGAGGGAGAAAGACTAACATCCACATACAGAGTACTTGTACAAGTTCTACTCAACTCTACTTCATGCCCTTGGCGGGTTATCTTCTAAGCAATGTTGATGTGCAAAGATCCCTCAACGTAGCCTCCTGGTTTTCAAGATACCCCGTTGGTTGAAAAAACTATAAGACTCTAGCCATGAATCTCTTCTGCGCCAGCAAACCTAATGGACTTTCGCCAATTAGGTCAAAAAAGGGAATGAGACATGAGAGAGAGAGGCCATAAACCAGACCATAAGAAGAACCAAACTGGATCGGCAATGGGACGAAGCCAAAAAGCTGAGGAGAGTAAGGAGAAACATATTCTCAAAAACAGTTTTCGGATAATGTTTTTTGAGACACAAAACAGAGTTTTTGTTTTTAAAAACATATATCTTAGGACCAAAGCTTTACTAACACCCTTGTGTAAACAACATAAATGAAAATAACTATGATATAGTTATTTCCATAAATATATTTCAAGTTTGCTAGTAGGATTAATTTGTAAGAAGAAAAAAAAAGAAGAGAGAGAGAGAGAGAGAGAGAGAGTTGCGGAGGGCATTGCTAGTCATCTCCTTGAATGTACCAGCAGAGAAGCATGGTGGCACATCGACGGAGGATGTAAATTCGGGCTCGTTGTTGCTTAACCAAGGAAGCGCACTTCCTGGTGAATCCATGACCACCCTTTCTCTTTGAAGGAGTACACACTGCACTCTTGCATTGTTGCTTGAGCTCAGCCATTGTTGGTAATTAAGTGAGTGAGATAGATTTAGTTGAAAGAGAAAAGAAAAAAAAACATGGGAAAAAAGCTCACTATTCGGAGCTGGACCCTAAGAGATATTGAGAGGGAGAAACCATGTATTTATACGAAGAAAGGGTTGACTGGGTTTTGAAAGAGGGGGAGTGAACTTGGTCACAGGGTTTTGCATGAAAAGGTGTAGCCCAGCTTTGTTTTTGGAACTAGAGGAGGGGGTGAACGTGGGCATGGATTTTTCTGTGTTAAAAATTAGGGTTTGGTGAAGTAAAGAAGAAGGAAGGATTGTTAAGTAGAACTTATCTGGAGATTTAATACAGTGTATGTTGGGAGATTAGGGAGTTTAGTGATTGAAGGTCCAATATAAAAACAAACATTCACTTAAAAGCTTTTTATGTTCACTTTAGAGCATATTTGATATGTGGTTTTGGATGGGATTTAAAAGTTGAGTTTTGGAAAAATAGTCCAATATATCTTCTAATATCATGTTTGGTTTAAGATTTGAAGGTCAGGATTCATAGGATAAATAAATCTCGATCCATAGTGAATAGTTGACTAAAACTTACAAATGGGGGGCGGGTTTCAAAATTTAGAGTTGGATTTGTAGATAAAAAAAATTATTTTACCCAAAAAATTATTCTTTTATTCACTTAAGAATGGATATTTTAAAAAATTGAGTAATATGATTTGATATAAATATATGGATCGTACATTTATATAATCATCTGCCAAATATGAGATTGAATAAGGTTTTTATTTGAATACCATGTACAAATCTCTGGGTCTGGATTTGAGAAAGTTTCTTAAATTCAATCCAAACCCCCCAAAATATAAACATCCAAACAAGTTTTAAGAGTTTGAGGCATTGTATATTGAGCCTTGGATCAACAGTCTCTCAGTCTCCAACAAATGATATCAAAGTTGAGAATTTACTATTCTGGATGAACTTTCAAAAAAACAGTGTAACATGTTAGTATTAATGATAGATCTAAAAAAAAAGCGACAGAGAAATTATGAAAATGTAGCAATTGGTATTAGATTAGTGTCGAGTTATAATGTTGGATGAAACCCACATTTAATTTAATAGTCATAAATTTTATTAAATTAAACCTTCATATTAGGTAAAAATAGAAATTTGGATTGATAATGTATAGTTGTTTGAGAGAAAGTAGATTAGAGAAGTGGTAAAGGAGCCATGAGAGAAGCGGAGGCGCTTAGTCATGACAAGGCAAGGGAAGGGATACGGGGAACAGGGTGGTCGGCTACCGTGGCTAGTTCCAAGGTCCTCTCTCTCTCTCTCTCTCTCTCTCTCTCTCTCTCTCTCATACACACATATCCATGATCCATCTAGAGTTAATTACTCCCTTAATTTATTACTTAATCCATCTTTTGATGTAGTTTGTACTCGTGTGCTGGAACAGCCTTGCTTTCTTGGAATAAGTTTGGCTGTTTGTTAGTAAAATACACTAACATCCCTCCAAGTTTATTGGAAGTACATTGTACTGCTTATAATTTTAAAAATAACCCTCAATCCTAAGGAATTATGATGAACGAACCCATAGTCAACTCCTTTTATCTGCTAGATTTTGAATATTTTTCTTGTTATATAATACTACATCTTTTAGCCATTGAAAGGTGCCCATCTTTTGACATAGTTTGTACTATTGAGGGGTGTTAGTGTAATTTTTTCAAAGTCTTCCAAATATGTTTTGTTTGGGACGATAGAAAATAAAATGATAGAAAGTTGGAAGAATAAAAAAAAATCGGAAATATAGATAAATAAAATAATAAATAACCAAAAAAAGAAGAAGCAACTTACCACTTACCAGCTGTTTTCGGCTAGAATAATTTTCGTCCTTGTCCCCCAAATAAACCAGTGCATTGATTCTTACACAAGACACAATCTTTGACTTTGAGTATGAACCACAAGAACCCTGAATTTACATATAAGATTTTTCTTGATAATCAGATTTTGGCATGTGATTACTGAGATTTGCTACACGAATTTGATATCGATTTGGGTTGATCTTCAGACAACATCAATCTTCATAGATTCAACTGTTCACTTCACCTCGTAAAAACAATCGAGTGTGTACAAATCTCATCATTGCATGTTTAAGGTTCTAGTGATGTACAGGTAGCTATAGCAATATAATATATGAGGGGGTGTTTTTTTTTTTTGTGAGAATTACATTTTGACCCCCTAAGATTTATTACTTAATCACTCATACCCTTGATATTTGAAATATTACACATAGACCCTTTAATACCACTTAGATCCCTGTCGTCAATATCTGATAATATATCCGTTAGTCAATTATATTTAGACCTCCTGAAGTTTGTAGACATGTAATACTTAAACTTTTTAAGCTTAAAATGTTATGCTTAGACAAAAAATACTTCAATTAAAAATAAAATATCAAATATTTTAATTTTTATAACTAAAATTTATGTTCTACTGTATCATTTATTGAAATAAAAATAAAAATAAAAATATAATTTTTTCTTAAAAAATTGTAATTTAATATACAATTATATTACCTAATTGAATAAAACTAAAAAATCAAACAAAGAGTCTAAGTGATTCATAATAAAATATAAATTTTACAACTAAAATTTATGTTTTATTATGACATTTATTGAAATAAAATAAAATAAATTATAATTTTTTAAGAAAAAATTAAATTATAATTAATTTGATTTATTTCAATAAATGTCATAATAGAACATGAATTTTGATTGTAAAATTTAAAATATTTGATATTATATTTTTAATTGAAGTATTTTTATTCTAAGTATAACATTTTAAATTTGAAGGGTTTAAGTATAATTTAAGAGGTCTGAGTGTAATTTACTACAGATACTAATCGACCTTAACGGCGAATCAGCGAAAACAAAATCAAGATGATTAAATTTGCAATAAAACATGACTATAATTTGATTATTGAAATAAAATCAAACTAATTATAATTTTTTAAGAAAAAATTAGATTTTTATTTTTAATTTTATTTCAATAAATGTGATAATAGAATATAAACTTTTGTTATAAAATTTAAAATATTTGATATTATACCTTTAATTAAAATATTTTTGATCTAA